CGTCCATCATTAAACAGGGGTGGAGGCCTCCGGGTTCAACTGTCCCCCTCTTACAATGCTGTGATTGCTAGTATCACTCAATCCCCTGTGAGTAGTAAACAGCCATCAGTGTGCTAATGATCCATTGTTAGGCTGATGGTCCTTCTTGAGCATGTGATCAGCTGGTTTTGGTTGTCAGCAGCAAACTGGTTGATCCACTCTGAGAAGGTGCTATTTAAGAGACTGAGCTGAATGCAGCTCCTCAGACTGAGGAAGTCTCTCGGATGAAAGATGAAACGTTTCGACATTTTTTTTTGCTTTGTTTTTTTTTTGTTTTGTTTTCTTGTTTTTTGATTGTCCAGAGGACCAGATTGAACTTTTTTGGATTTTTATACCTGGATTATTGAGCATGTATCAGGATATTTTGAACCTATAGGGACTGTTTGGTCATTTTTGAAGTGATGTACAAAATACACATCAATAATTTACTTTATCAGCCATGACATCAGGCAGAAAACACAGTGTGAAGAAAGGGAAGAAGTCTTGGTCCAGGCTAGGCTAAAGTCTACCCAATCAAGTTGATTTTTTATTTATTATTTTAATCGTTTCTGCCCTTTTCTTCATACTCGCTGCTCTTTGACTGAACTCGTGGCTGATAAGATACCGACTCCTGATAACTATTTGACATTTAAACACTCCAAATATAACCATAAGCTCGTCTGTTATATTGAAAAGTCTCTCAACAACACCCAACGCCTCAAACATGCACAGATGCGCTCACAAACCCTCAAACACGGTTAAGGCCAACCAGTACTTTCTGTGGTACAAGAGTGAGTGTTTACCAGACAGCAAAGTACAACTCAACAGCACTTAGATAAAAAAAAACCAGACAACTGCAGTCGCTATGTGACAACCACATTTGCCTCGAGTGTTGTAAATGAGGCTTGTGCACTCTGTTTCCTTAGAAACTGAGTGTTGTCTGCTCACAAGAAAAACAACACAATTGCTTTCACTCCAGGAAGCCTCAAACAGGAAATTCAG